CCTCTCCCCACCCCACCCCTCCGCACAGCGCGCGCGCCAGGCCCGGGGGGCCCGGGGCTCACAGACCCATTCAGTGTTGTGGCGCGCTCTTACGTCCCGCGCGCCAACCAACGAACTGTGTCTCACGGCATGCCCTCTGCCCTGCAGGTGTTGCTCCTACACACGCACATCTAGGCCCGCCATGAGAACTGCAGGTACTCCTTACCTGACGGGCGCGCTCCCTGAACCCCCGCTCAGGGCTGGGGCTGCGACTGCTGCCCGGAGAGAGCTTCAGGGTGAAGCGTTTGGAGGTGTCGCGTCCGGCGGGTCCGGCAGGACCTGCAGCTGTGGCAGTCGCACCAGCCTGCGCGGGCACGGAACCTTCTGCAGGACTCACGTCAGGGAGGACGTCCACCGCAGGCGCGCTGTTGGACAGCGCACCCTCGGCACGCCCTGCGAGTCCTGCTGGTCCCGCGGGTCCTCCTCGTCCTCCTGGACCTGCGGGATGGGTGGGCCCCGTGGCCTGTTTGGCCGGCAGTGGTAGCGGGGGGCTGGTGGGCAGCGCACCCTCGGCACGCCCTGCTAGCCCTGCGGGTCCTCCACGTCCTGCCGGACCTGCGGGCCCCGTGGCCTGCTTGCCCTGGACCGACGGCGGCGGGCTAGCGGGCCGCTTCATGCCCGGCATCCTCAGGGTGAAACGCTTGGAGGACACGGCCTTGTCAGCCTTGCCCGCGGGCCGGGCCGGCGGGGCAGCTTGCGGGGCGCTGGACTCGGCCTGGGGTGGACTCCGGGGGCTCTCAGTGGGGGTCAACGTGGCGAGCGACACGGGGGTCGTGGGGTTCTTGCTGACGTTAAGTTCGGGCGGTGTCCGGTTGGCGGAAGAGCCGTTGTTGCCGGTAGAAGCGGCGCCTATGCTTGGCAAAAGGACGGACTCCGTTGCAGCAGTGATGGCGGCGAGGAGGTCCTTGGATTTGGACCTGGTGGCATTTTTCCTTTCAAGCACGCTGCTGGTCACCGTCCTAGTGAGTGCCCTCAGGGCGGAGGGCGCGCTCGAAGTGACGCTGGCAGCGGTCGGAGTTCCGGCGGAGTCGGGAGTGCCTGTTGCACTACTAGGGGTAGCGGCAGTTGTGGTGGTGGCAGTGGTAGTGGTGGAGCTGGTGGTGGTGGGTGGGGTGGCAGTAGACTCCCCCGCCTGTATGGCAGGCAACAAGTCTTTAGATCGAGTTTTGGTGGCGTGCCTTCGGTCCAGCACGCTGCTCGCCACCGTTCTCGTCAGGGCCTTCAGGTCGCCCCACGTCCCTTCCCTGGTCAGTGTGAGCCTCCTGGCTAGCGTCGCGGTGGCGGCAGCAGCCAGGGGTGCAGTGGTCGGCGCGCTCGTGGGCGTGGATGGCGGAGAAGGCGGGGTGGGTGCGGCTGACGGGGATCCGGAGCTCGCCGAAGCGGCCTCTGGCACTACGGGAGGAAGTTCATGAGCGTCGACACGTAATAAAGGCAGTGGCGCGGATTGTCGGCATGATATGAAGCTTACCTGACCCATTCTCCTGCGGCGGTGGTGGCGGCGGCTTTACTAGGGGCTGAGACTTAGCCGCGGCCGGGGACTTCGCTTGCGGTGGGGACTTTGCGCGGACCGTGGCAACCCTGCGGAGGGTGGACCGCAAAGCCGACGCGACGGACCTGCCAACCGGGGAGGTGGGCCTCGACGGCGCCGCCATGTCGTCGGGAGGGTCGGCGCTAGGCAGGGTGGCCGACGCCTGGAGCCGACGCACCTTCTCGCCACCCTGCGGAGTCCCCTGGGGCGTGACGGGTATGTTGCCTTCCAGGGCTCCGACTGCCAGCTTCCTCACCGAAGCCCTGCTGGGCTTGGGTGCCGGCCCGCCGACGTCCGCGGACCTGCGCTCCACAGATTTGGCTCGCGTGTCACGGAGGTCGGCGGTGGTGCCCGGGGTGGCCTTCCTCCTCCCAGGATCTGCGCTAGGGGGCGGCGAGGTGGGCCTGGATGGCGCTGTTGTTGGGGCTCGAACAGGCGCCTGGTCGTTGGATTTCGTAGGTTTGGTCACGGCTTCCGCTACGGCCTTCACCATTTCAAGAACGGCAAGAGGCGAGCTCGGCCGTGAGGTCGCGTCGCTCCTCCTCTCCGTGGGCTCTGATTTCTTACCCTTCTCGCCTTTGGCCGGCGGCGAGGTGGGTCGCGGCGAGCGCTCGGGCGTGGGCCTCTTGTGGGGTCGCGGGCCGTCCCGGGTGACGGAGGCCTTGCGGGCGAGCCTCCGGTTGTGCACGACGCTCTCCATGGAGTCGGCGGGGGCCGGGGGCCTGCTCAGCCGCCTGGGCTCCGCCGGCTTGGCCTCGGCCCTCGCCGACCCCGGCGGCTGCGCGGGCTGCGTCCTCCGCGGCGCGGTCATGGCGGCCTCCCCGGCGGAGGGCTGTAGGGGCGCGGCCGGCTTGCCGGGGGGATGCTCGTGCCGAGGAGCCGAGGAGCTCCGCTTGTCCGGCATCAAGACGACGTCCGCGTCCTCCCAGGGCGCGGCGCGGCGAGCCCGGGCCTCAACGAGGCGCCTCCCGCGGCGCGCACCACGATCCTGCCCGGCGGCGCGACGGCTCTCGAGTTGACACGCCGGCCCGGCTAGGCGTCATTAGGCGTACCCCACCAGGCCCGCCCGGGCCCACCAGCCCGGCATGGCACCGACACAACTCACTTGAAAATATTTTGGTCGGCGCGTAACGCGTTACGTCACAGGTTCATTCATAGTGTCGTTGCTGCCAGCGCCGGGCCGGGGTTGGGCGGGGTGGGGTAGGCTAGGGCGGCAGCCGGTCTACTTGTCAGCCCTTGCAGCGAGGGGGCGACGAGGAGTCATCTTCTTTTCTCGCGGGCAGGAGCGTGTTGCAAATCTGCAACGATGAGATCACACACAAGTTAAGGCGGGCGTAGAGGGCTCGGGGTTGCTAGTCCTACATTGCCGTTATGGATCATCCAGAAAGTGCGTCCTCCATTAGCCGTTACGAAACTGCCAGTTTCGGCCAATGCAAGCTCTTAGCGCCTGTGAGATAGGCAACATTTCGCTAGCGGCGCATTCGTGTACTGCGGGGTGGCCTACCCTTCGTCTCGCAGGCGGCGAGCTCCCGCAAGTTGCCAAATGAATCTGGAAAAAAACGGACGTACTTTCTGCACGATCCCTTACAGATGCCAAATTCAATGTTGGTCCTCGGAGTCAGTGAGAAGCAGACTGTTGAAGATAAGTGGAACTTTTCCTCAGAGTTGCGTGCCAGTTGGCCTGTAGGTCCTCGTCATAGCGGATATGAGGGATGCCGGAGCGATAGCGCAGGAGCTGTGTAATGAACAATACTCCATTTCAAGATTATTCGATTTTTGACAAACTCACACATGACTTCGGTGTCTACAGTATGGGCGTAACAACAGACCACACGCGTTAACTTACGTCCACGTCATTGGAGCCAGACTCGTGGACGAGTTCCACCAAGGTGCGATTTTGTTGGGCGTACTTCCTGTGGACGTGTTGGTCCCGCGACCCTCAGTATGAGAAACTTAATGCGCGCGAAGGGTTGGGACGTAATTCATCGCCCGGGGAAATAGGGGTTGGTTGGGGCAGGGGCGAGCCCGGGCGAGCCACAGGGCGGTGCTTTCACTCTAGTGATACTGAATGAAGGTGTCCGCTGACGTCACGTGGTTGGGGCTTGCGGTGCGAAGGGGCGGTCCGCGACCCGGCTCGGCTCGGCTCGACTCGAACGGAGCGAAACGGCCGGTGCGGCGTATGAGCCACACTGCATACCTCGTTTATAGCCTCGACCTTGGCACCAAGCCATTCACTTTTATCTAACGAAAAGTTTGGGGCAGTTCTCACGATGAAAACACTCGAAGGGAAACCTCTCTGGAGCCCGTAGCCGCGGTTGCAGTGGCCTGGATGCAACCTCGCGGACAGACCGCGACGGGCACACCCCATGCGCTACCGACCAGGAGAGTCGTTAGAGAAGTTACGATAGTTGCGAGCGCTGTAGTGAACCGGCTATCCATTGGAAGGCAAAGACATTACAGAAAACAAATCGACTCTTTCTGTCAGTGAAACGACCGGTTGCTTGGCATAATCAACAAAGAAGGAGCCATGGCATGACTGACGTGAGGCTGTAGGCCTTGACAGTGACTGCATTCATTCGAAAATAAGGGCTCCGTCAGCAAACCCGGGTGCAATGAGGAATTTGTGAGGGGGGAGGGAGGCAAACACCGGCGGCTAAGTGTCGGGCGCTGTGTGGGCCCCCTCCCCCACCGCACCGAGTCCGTGCAGCAATATCCGACTACATTCTTCCTCAGGCGGAGCGAGCCGCCGCGCGTTTCAGATTTAAGCGCGGCAGTAAAGCAAATTTATGGCATAAACTACCTGTCAACTCGGTTTTGGCAGGCTGTCTCTGCCTACCCCTCACCCCTCAGGCCCAGAGCACCATTGTGTTGAGCGATAGCCTCGCTGCGACCCGCGCCGTTAATTCGCGCTTTTTATTTAGAAAAGCCCATACCGTCTCGTGTCCGCCCCGCCGCGCGCGTCGGGGTATTGACGGCCGCGACGGCCTCGACGACCTCGGCCGGGCGGCCGGCCCGGCCTCAGCCTGGCGTGGCGCTGGAGCTGCAGAAGCTGGAGGGAAGTCCGCTGGAGCTGACTCTCGCCTCTGCGGGGTCTGACAAGGCCGGGCTGGGGTACGCGGGGTGGTTCGCCCGGGCTCGGTGTGGCAACACTTTGCTAGCCGGTGTCCATCCGCCAGGTCCGCCGGTCGGCCTGGGGGCAACTACGGCTTGGCCAAGCCGTCTGACAGGGACAGCCGCGACACTGGCGACGGCACGGCGGAGCGGAGCAGGCTGACCAAAGGAATTGTGTGCTGTCCAAATAGCGGCCCTGCCCGGGCGGGCGGGCGAGCCGAGCCGAGCGCGAGGCTGGGCTGGGCTGGGCTGGGCCGGGCCGGGCCCCACCAGGCTCACTGTGTACACTGCCTGCTCCTGCTGCCAGGGGTGGCAGAGGGCCCCGAAAGTAGACGGTCCCCATCAGAGAGGCCGGGCGGGTGTTTTAGGAGGTGTCCCGCGTGGCGGTTGACATACCTGTTGTTCTAGCTCTCCGTCACTACCCATGGTTGCTCGATAATTCTTAACGCAAAATAAAAAAAAATCAGCTAATTTATTTGAAAATTGTTTTTTTGTTGATTGTACTTCTTTTTTTATTGGCAGTTTGGTTGGCCGAGGGCGACGGTATGTTGTCAGCCGTTCTACAGCACAGGGGCGCTTGTATTCGAACGTTTCCGAACGCTTCCGAACGCTTCGCGCCAGTTGTAGACAGTCAACTGTTGATATCTGCGACAGTTACGTCTTCCCGCCAAAATCAACGTTTGCGTCGATCTAACCTACAGTGATTGTAAAGGCCGACTGTCATAGTAAATGTTTTGTTAAGATTTGTTATTTTTGAAAAGAAATAAAAGAGCGCAGGTGAGCAGAAGTATCTTTGGGGTTTTTGACATTCAATGTATTGTCATAATATTATTACTTACCTACTCCAACACATTTGATGAATTCATCTCTTTGTTTTCTACGTTTCTTCTGCTAGAGCTGTGGAAAACAGGCATCCATTTATTTATTTACTTGTTAATTTTCTTGTTCATTTTATATTGTGTTGTATTGCATTACAGCATGAAGGTCGAAGAGTTTAGTCCTGATTCTCTTCCTGATCTGCTACCTCTGTATTACAAGCGACTATTTCCTTATGGACCATTTCATCGTTGGATCAGTTATGGAAATGGTAGTCATGTCCAGCATAAAAGTTCTGTTCTTGCCCAATCTAGCATTTTATTACATTTTTTTACTTTTCTACAGTTGAGCCTAATTACTTCCAAAATCGAGAATTTTCGTTCACTCTTGCTGAGGACATATACATTCGCTTCAAATCCTTCATTGGGCGAGAGGACATGGAAAAGGAAATCCAAAAGCGATGCCCTTACAAAATAGATATTGGAGCTGTCTATGCTACGAGGTATTTGTCACATGAACTAACAAATTAACAACAACTTGGAGATTTAATTTTTTGTAATAATTTAATGCCGGTTGTTGCCTTTCTTGTCATATTTTTTTGTTTATCTGCTAGACCTCAAGAAAGGCATATGACTGCTGTATTTCAACCTCAAGAGAGAGAGTTGGTCTTTGATATTGATATGACAGATTATGATGATGTCAGATCATGCTGTAGCGGAGCTGATATCTGTAATAAGTGCTGGAAATTCATGGTGCTGGCATGCAAAATTCTCGATGCAGCTCTTAGAGGTTGTTCTGTTTGGTCTTTTTGTGTAATACAAGTTGATTTTGCTGCACTTGGTTATTTTGTTTCTTAATGATTTATTTACTTTGTCATCAGAGGACTTTGGATATGAACACTTGTTGTGGGTGTTCTCTGGGCGTCGAGGTGTGCATTGCTGGGTGTGTGATGATAGTGCAAGGAAGCTAGATGTATCTGCAAGATCAACTGTTGCAGAATACCTTCAGCTTGTCACTGGTGGTGAAAACAAGGCAAAGAAAGTTGTTTTGAATTCAGATAAGCTTCATCATTCTATTAGGTATGAAGAGATTTTCCCAAATTATGCATAGGAAAATGAGAAACGCGTTTTTCTTATAGATTAATTTTTTTTTTTTTAATCTATATTTCAGGCGTGCCAAAAATATTATCGAACCGCAGTTTGAATCAATGTGTGTTGAGGATCAGGACATATTAGGAACTCCTGAAAAAATATCCAAAGTACTTTCTTTAGTGCCAGATGATCAAATGCGACAAGAGATTGAAAAAGAAATGTCAAAGCAAAACACACCTTCAATGAAATGGGCTGCTCTTACCTCTGTTGTTCAAAGTTGGATAAAACGAGTAAGCTACTTTTTTATCTTTCTTCATTTCTCACTTTGGTAGCTGATTCCACCCCTATTATTACATTTCCTTCTCATCTTCTTGTTAAGGGACAGTTAAAAAAGTGGCGACAATTTCTTGTTGAAGAAATTATGCTGCAATACACTTACCCTAGGCTGGATATTAATGTATCAAAAGGAATGAATCACTTGTTAAAAGCCCCTTTTTGCATTCATCCAAAGACTGGCAAAGTGTGTATTCCTTTCAATCCTCGTGCAGCAGAGAAGTTTAATCCAATGACAGTTCCTACTATCAAGTAAGTACATAGATTGGAAAAGACTTCCACAAATTGAAGGTTTTGTATTAGTTTTAACCAGATTTAAATCTAATGCACTTTATATTTTCAGCCAGCTTATCCATGAGATTGGTCAATTTGATAAAGAACAAACTCAAGAGGGAGATGAAGTTAGCTTGAGAAGAGTAAAAGATTATAGAAAAACAAGTTTAAACAAGGGTGTAGTAATATTTGAGGAATTTGTCCGTAAGCTAGAAGATACATGGAAAGGAAAGCAAATCAAAATTGAAGCAAGTGGTGAGTAATTTAAATCCATTGTTATGTAGGCAAATGAATGGTCCTGACTTTACAATCCTTTGTTTTACAGATGCAACCCTCAAATTTTAAGCAGAATATAAATGGTGTTCTACTTTCAGCCCGATATTCATTTTATAGGAGGAAAAGGAATGTTGAAAAGAAATAAAAGAGTATTTTTTTTTAAAGTCACTTAATTGTAATGAATTTGTCCATACATTCTACTCAGTAGCTTCACATAAATTTAATCATAAATAATCTAATTCCACATAAAAGTTTAAAACAATCATATAGAGACAGACATTGATATAAAATTGAGATATCACAACAAAATAAGAAACATGTCGTGCAACTTCTCAAGTGTGGAATTTTCTTCACATTACATGACAACTTTCGCATATATATTTAAATCCAACAAGGCAACCTAGTTTACCATTTCAGAATCAACCTGTTCACATCTACTTAAGACTTAATTAATACTTTTCATATCACTGGAAAATTCCACATGGACTCTAGAAGATCACAAATAAGTAGTGAGAGAGTTAAAACATTATTTGGGCTGTGAAAAAAACATTGTGTTTCCAGAGCCTTGTCAGATAGTACCAACTTCATAAGGTAAAAGAACTTGAGAAGTGACGACATGAGTTCACAATTGATAATTCCACCAAGGGTTATAACCACATTACTGGTGAAGGTGATTGCTATCCACACTCAGACAGCAAAGCAAACAAAACAAAAGATCTGATGGTGTAATAAACTTTTCAATTTGCCGCCCATTCTTGATTACTACAGATAATCTGTATCAGTCATTAAATTAGCTTTGTAATTCAAAGTACCACCACGATGTTGTACAATGGCACGATGCCAACAAATGCAAAAGTAAAGATGAAAGTAGGGGAAATTTTAAAAAAATTCAAATGAGGATTAAAATTAAAGAGGAATCTTGTCTTATTTAGTATCAAAAATTCTAAAAAGTAAGGTAACATGACGAGGATAGAAACATTACACTCAAGTTTAAGACAAAAAACTACTTACAGGGTTAGATAAAAATCTGGGCACTTGCAAAGGAAAAAAAGAAAAAGAAAACAAATTAATATTGAGTGAGGATAGCAGATGTGTTTGGTCAGACTTCCCAAAGATGTACTAAATCACAACTGAACAGACAGCGGCCAAATAAAAAATTTGGAGCAATGTATACAGATTGATTCTAACTCATATTTTCAGACAGTACAAATGTATAAAACAAGAATGAGTAACAAAGAAAAAAAGAGGAATAGATGGCAACATTTAGATAGTGGAACTATTCATTTTACACAATGCTTGAATAAAGCACTCAAAACTAATTTTGTTGACGCGTTACCTACGACATGGTAATCACTGTTCTCCAATATAAAGCTATGCTTTCTGCATTAAAGATAAAAAATAAAATCACAAACTATTCAGTGAACACAATTACATGTTTACAAATCTACAAGCACACTCATCATAACTTACTGAATTCCTTACTTCATGCAATGCCTATACCCATGCAAATTTAATTTTATAGGACAACGATTTAGTAACTGGTTAGATTGATACACGAGATGCAATTTGCTAAAAGTACATTGTATGAAAATAAGGGGACATGCAAACATTACATGAATAATAAATAACATGTGCTTTAAGACGGTGAGCAACTACAAACATTTCTAATCACTTAGCCCCTTCCCTTCCTAGTCGGCGGTGAAAAACAAATATACAATCTTGAGAGCTGTGTAAATACTGGCTATCCCCGCATTTTACAACGATGTTGCTCTGGTACATAGATAATGAACAGGGAAGTGATCCTCCAAACAGAGAGATTCACACAACTAACTGTAAATATAATGCATTTATAAAAATTTCAAAACTAAATTTGACCAACATGGTCTCAGTCTCACAGAAAGAGGAAGGGTCATAGCCTTTTCAGAGTACGCTTTTTGTCTTTCATCAGCTTTTTCTTATCTGCGGCAACCTTTTTGTCACTTGCATGCTTCTTGGCAGTTGGCCCATCTGTACTATCTGATGCACACCCCTTGGGAACTTTAGTTGCCTGGAAGGAAAACAAAAGGTAAAACTTAGTTCTGGAGCAGTTCAAAGAAAGTTTCTGCAACTAAACAATCACTATTAAACATACTAAGGCATGGATTTCAGTCATCATCCGAGCTCTTTGACAATAATCCTCATAATGCTCCAATAACAGCTTCCCTGCCTCTTCATTTAAAGCTGACTCAGCATTTGGGACAATTAAGAGGCATTTCACCGTCTAAGGACATAAAAGATTTTAAGAACATGTATCATCAAATGCTGATCATCAAAAATGAGGCTTAATTGTAGATCTTACTAGAAGAATGTGTTTTATTCCAAGATCAGGCCGCCAATCTTTTTTAAGGGTGTTAACACATATTTCACCATTTTTGGCAACATTGGGATGAAAAACTCTAGTCAAAAAGAACCCTTTAGGAGGTCCCTGAGGAAAATCTTTCCCCAATGCTAATTTGACTCGAAAAACACCACCAGCATATGGGGTACCGGCTGAAAAGAAAAGAGACAATTAGCTGTAATCAACACAATTAAGGCAAAGAATTTGAACACTTCTTGATGTCTAATTGACACAATATACACATACCTGGGCCATCAATGTAGGCTTGAATATCAGTGACATCTTCTTCATTTATTTGAACCTTAATGCCCTCAGGAGGCTCTGACACTAATTCATGAAGTTCTTTTGTCAACTGTCTAATGATTTGTGGTGATAGGTTCTCCACATTAGATATCTAGAAAAAATAACGTAACATAATGTAAATTAAACCGATCGAATTTCTAATATTTCCATTCTAGGGCAAGTCCAGCCCTTATCATAAGCCTTAAGGTTGAGAAAGAATAAAAGTATTTTTCTAAGACAATGAAGTGACAGCCGAGCAAACATATCCAGTTTAATCTAGCCTACAAAACGTTTGAAATACTTGTAGTATAACCAATACTGGATACACTTAAGAAAAAGTACTTCATCTGAATTGGTATTTATATCCCTTCCTGTAAATAGAAATGTGGGAACGTATGATGAACGGAACGCAGAAGACTATAGCATGAAAAAAACATCGATACCCCACAGAAAATATTGAAAAACCACATGAAATCCAATTGCAGGCAACCAGAACCTAAATAATAAGGACATAACCTTACAGAAAATGCACACTACAGCCACAAATGTTGAAAGACTATCCTGTGCCAGAGAAAATTGATATTCTGGGTTCTTTCTGATTAGACTCAACGGATACTACAAATGAAGAGCTTCGAATAACAGATATATAGTGAAGCTATCGAGGATAGGTGTCCAACGGTCAACCGTTTCATGATGGTTGGATAATAATTAACCTTCAAATTTTGTAAAATAATAACTATAAAGCAATATTACCGAGCTCACAGCAGCCATTCGTGATAGAATATAGTTGAAACCGCAAAGAAAATAATCACACCACGATAAAATTTTCTGGAACACTTCGCATAAAAACAACGAACGTCACAACGGAACGGAAGAGTTGATGTTTTGTAAATCTACCCAGCAAGCTGCATTCAATGCGACCAATCAGGGTCCGTCTGTTGTAGCCTCCAACCCAAAGTCATCAGCAGGTCTATTACATTCTCTTTTCCCATTCAGGATGAAGCCCCGTTTAGACGGTCAAGACGCCGGCCCGTTCCCCTGTTCCCTGTGTTGCCAGACTTCCGTTTACCTGGCGATTGCTTTGAAATCAGCCCCTTTCCGATTGATATGCCTTTTATAGCGTTTAATTATAACTCCTTTACCTTCCTCTGTCTTGTCGAGTGTCTTGTGAGGTTTAATTTAAGTTTATTCGCCGATTTTCGTTTGAGTACGAACTGCGGCAACGCTGGGAACGGCGGAAAGGCGACACGTCTAGACCGTCTGAACGGGGTTCGTGCGCCACGACGAAAAAGGAACGTAATAGACCTGCAGGTACGTTCCTAGTTCCTCTCCCAACAAACCCGAAAACCAAACAACAACTTTTCAACATTTTAACCGGTTTAAAGAAAGTTCGTTTCAGTCGCATTCGAAAAAAAAGTTTTTGATTTGTTTTCTATAACTCTAAAATGGAAAAAAATAAAAATAAAAATAAAAATTCTCTGAAAAATAGACCGAAGGTATGAATGAATCAAGGAGGGCGTTTGTAAGTTTTATAATCAATGGCGGGCAAAATGAATCTTCTTTGTTTGGGTGGTGCAGGGATTTCCCTAGCAACCGAAGCAGTGAACATTTGCTTAATAGAATTAATGAGATTTCCTCGCGGTCTTTATATAAGATACAGACCTCCATTTATTGTACTTCATAGGTTTAGTAAATTTATGAGCTCAAACTTTGTGAAGTCAATATTTCTTGAATTGCAGTACTCAAATTTGAGTTGGATTAAGGACCCAACCTTTGATAGCTAATAATTTCTTTGGAAAGAATCCGTAGAGGTAATTTTTACAAAAATGGGTCCCAAAAAGAAAGGTGGGAAAGCAAACAAGCTTGCTCGGATGACTGATGAGCAACGCGAAAGGTATCTCCAGCATCGTGCTGCTATTGAGGAGGAGACAAGAAGACGGAAAGAGCAACTCATAGCAACTTTTATGAGAGTAAGTTTTTCACTTCAGACCGAATTGCAATGAAAGAAGCTGTACTAAACCTGAGGCTTAATTTTTCAACTCTAGAATAAACTAAAACGTGAAGAAGCATTCACTAGGATTAACTCTGCAAAAATCAATCAACACTGGCGGCATATATTGAGAAAAATCAAGTGTGCAGAGTTAAGAGAAGATGTAGAGGTGTGTATAACCTGAATTCAAACAAGTATTCCTACAGGCCAAACTCTCATCACTCTCATCAAACAAGTGGCATGCAAAGAGCGAAATGTTATTTTGTTTCAACAGAACTTATGGCACAGCTTTGAGCGAATAATGGACCAGAAACAGAGGCAAAAAGATGAACTACTATGCAGTCTTGAGGTGGCAGAAAGGCAGTACTCTGATACCCTACAATCTCACATGGAAGTAGTTGAAAGGCTTATTGGTGTGTATACTTCCTGCTGTTCAGTACAATTTTTCAGACTGTGGCAATGGGCTTTTTCCTTTAAAAACTGAATAATTTACAGAGGTCCACTCAGAACATGTCAACAGTTTGAAAGCTTTATTTACCTCTCAACTAGTAGAGCAGTTAAGTAATGCCACAGATGAAAAGGCTTTAATCCATGTAATGTATGAAAGAGAAAATAAGAAATTACATGTCATTCGTATGACAATGGAAATGGATTTTCAAAGCCCTGAGCGGCAATTGTATAAGTATGAAAAGACAAATAAAATATCAGAAATGAAAAAACAGGTATGCTCAAAATGTGTCAAATTAAATTTCTCACTGAAATAATAGATGGATGAGTACTTGATAATCTGAAAGGAAAAAGAAGAGGGAAAATACTTCTACCGATTGATTCTAAATTACTTGAACATTTCAGTACAAGGAGTACTGGCAATCTCTCATCTCAGAAAGAGAACGAGCTTTAGAAGACATCTGGCAGAAGATACAGGACTGTTTGAATACTTACGCAGCTGATACTGCAGCAAAGAGAAAAACGGTTCAACAATTGCATAAAATGGATCAGGACTGGCTCCAAACATTAGCAGACATCCAGCGTACATCAGTAACATACCCCTAATTATTTGACAAATTTGTATGCAGGATTAAATGGTAAAAAGTGCTATTATGATTTCCACATTTTCCAGAGGCGAGTTGGTCAAATGAAAGAGCATGCAGAAAACAAGATTAATGAAATTTCAGAAAACAATTCAAATCTTCGAAAACAAAGAGATTCTATGCTTCACTGTTATAAAGTGCTTGTAGAAAGAGTTGGAAAAGAAAATAGAAAAGATGATGAAAAGTTTGAACACCTTGTGATCACAAGTGACGGAATTTTAAAGGTTGGTGAATAAAGAATTATTTCTTCTATATTGTCGTTTGATTTATAGGTCTCTACTTAGACTATTTTATAGTTTACTTTGTCATCATAATTTACTTTTTATTTATATTACTGGCAATCTCACAGGATTTAAGCAGTTTAAGGAATAAAGGAGAAAAAGCTCTTGCTATGCTTGTACTATGCCAACGACTTGAAACTAGAATTGAGCAAAGAGCAGCACAGGTTACATTAAAAGGGGAGCAGGTTGTTAAAAAAGCAGAGAAAATGGACAACCCTCCAGAAAAAACAAATGCTGAAAACAAAAACCTCTATGAAGATTTTTCAGATGAAGATGACAGTTTCATAACAGATCTCGAAGAGAGGGAGGTAAATATTTCATTCAAGCTGATGAAATGAGTTCCAGACCAATTTAAAGCAAGTGCTTGAAACTGTTGAGTTGAAAGTTGAAACTGAAAACAGATTGGCAAGTAAAGGAATGTATGTTTAAATTGCAGATGCGAACCTTTGGAAAACTAACTAACTTCTGGAAGAAGTATAACAAAGTACTGATAGACACCACAAATGCCCGTATGGAAAGGGACATGCTAGCAATTGAAAATCAGCAATTAAGAAGTACTTTACAAAATTACCTATCGGAAATGGCAAGGGTGGATTCATGTGGTGCTCCAACTGGACATCGTATTGCAAATAACCGACCTCGAACAACTCAGTTTTCTGGATTTAGAACTACAAGAAGGTTTCCCCAAAGGCCTGTCTCAAGTATAAGCTGGAGTCGAAGTGTTGCAAGTCGTGGTGTAAGCCCTGGTTCAAAGCTGAGTGCCAGTCGTGCCAGTTCTGCTGCAGTGAAGACAACAGTACAGAGTGATCGTCTCTCTTTGGTCTCTTCAAACTCAGATCAATGGTCAATCTAATAGTATTTAAGGCCCCACAAACATAGAGTAAGATGAGGAACCACATCTTATCTTTGGGACAAGATACATTTCTACTTTCTCAGGATTGATAGAGATTGAAGTCACACTATAAACAATGAGTGAAAAGTATTTAATTTAATGGAGCTCATTGAGCATAAGTTATCAGTTTAACTGTCATTCATTTTAACATGTGTTTTACAAGCTCCTCAACAATAGGTGGTTTACTAGCAATCATTTGGAAGTATATTATTATGAATACCTGTGAATGGACAATTTACTTGAAGCTACATATGACACAATACATATCAACAAAAAACACATGTAAAAGGACACCACTTGAATGCTTATTGAATTAAGCACTGTTCACCTTGAGAATATAAGCCAATGAATGAAAATCACCTATTCCCCTATCTCTTTCAAAAAGTTTGAAAATGGTAGAAATATAATTATAGTTTTCCCATAATGGTATGGCGAATACAATGAACATGATGGGATGATGTAAATAAGCCACTAAGATGTAGGTTCTTAGTAGTAAGTCTCAGTAAAAGTAAGATGGAACATGAGCTTAACAGTAAACAGCAACCAAAATTATGAAGACCCTGTGTCATAAGTTAATTCACACAACTTTGGTGCATGTTTCCCAAGTCCCTTCCAATAAATAAATGTTTGAGCATGAGAGTAACATTCTACTTTCATGAAAAATTCAAAAAACTTACACACACACACAAAAAAAATATGCTAAGCTAATATAAATTTTACTTTGGTCCACTAATGCAAAGGAATGATGGAAGGCATTACAAACAGACCTCACCAGCACTGTGTAGCTGATATTCAGAGTGAGAGAAAAACATTTTCACTCCTTGCTTGAGACTAATTGGTTTTCAAGTAAGTTTTTGGAAGCAATTTTAAATTTTTAGTAATAGACGGAATGTATCTTACAATTAGACAAACTGTATCAAGGGAAACCATTTTGTTTCAAAAGAAGAAGAAACAAGAAAATAAGCCTCATAATTCTGAAGGATTTATGAGAAGAGTTCCATATTAAACAATTTTTAGCAACACTATACAAGATCAAATAATATGAGCATATTCACATTTCAACATATACATAAAACAAAACAGAGTACATATTGATATGTGGTTCTATAAAAATTCAACAAAGAGCACTTAGCAATAACACCAATTGATCATAGCCACTAAGCAATATAGGACTTAATCTGCTGTAAATATTACAACAATCACAATATACATTAGATACAAAACACTTTCATATCAAAATTGTTCAGAGTGAAAATCTTATACAAAAATATAGACAATTAAGGAAACCCTCTTAAAACATACTTTGATACAACTCAACACATAATTGGAAGTAACCATAAAAATAAATGATACATACTATGACTTGACTGTACACTATTCTGGGTTTGACAAATAGCTCAGCACCAGCAATATCTTGATATTTCAAAACAGAAGCATGGGTAGACAAAACAAATATCATTGAAGTCCTTTCACAATGCCCAGATGTTATGGAAGGTTTTGAAACTTATACTAACTTTTAATGCACTCTCTCATGGAAGTAAAAGCTAGCACATTTCAGCATTATTGCAGGAGCTGTTATATCAATATTTAAATGGTAAGGTTTGTCTAGGAGTTGATTTGGATATTTGTAGCTGAGCTTGAACTGCAGTTTTTGACAATAAATGTGTGATCTTCTACATGACTGGATTCTAGCCTGATTGAACTTTAAACACAAATTGGGTTTGAATTTTTAACGCAGATTGGGTTAAAGTACTAGCTTGATTAGTATCATAAAAATTGTACACAAACTTGAGAGCCAAAAACTTGTGAAACATGCTCAACTTTAATAATTTGGTAGCTTCAAAAGATTTTTAAAATTTTAAACAATTCCATACAAAGATATTGAACATTTGGTTTGGTATATGCTAGATTAATCATAAAATAAATGAAGGATGCTTTGGTCATGAGGTCCAAATTGCTATATCGGCTTCACATGACACATGATTTTACAGCTAGTTTCAATAAATCTTTGAGGGTAAATATTCATTCCCGCATTACAATAGTCTATACAAGGCAGAGACCATGCAATACTTATAAAATACCTGTCATTAAGAGCCTGACAGCAAATGGAAACATGACTTGAGACATCAAGGAATGACTGGTAGTTACTCCAACAACTAAGCAAGGAAAACAAAGGTAAGTTTGTCACCTGCAGTTACATCCTCTTAAAAAGTGAAAATTGCACTGATGCAGATAATTTTTTATACAACGATTGCAAATAATCGTGCCAATAAAAGCTGTAATACCTCAAACTGAATTTGAAATAAATTTTTAAAACAAATTATAACTAGATTATCAACAGTTCCAAAAGAGCGCACCAAAAATCCTGGGACCTACTTGACAACGCCTTTTGCAATAGCATTCATACATACAATATTTATCACAGACTCATTGGAAAAAGTCTCAAAAGTTAACACAAGTAACTAACCATAAGTTCACAACTCAATATTAACCTATTTGGATGGGAAAGTTTCCTTCACAATTGAAAATAACATCTACTGAGAAATTGTTTAAAAAAAAAAACGTAGAACAGAATACATGTTCAAGGTAGATTTAGCATAATCAATCAGCTGTAGCCTGGTCTAGATATAAAAGATACTTGTAAAACTAGTGGCATGGTATTGAGTAGTACAAACAATATTTCATGCAGCTGGTTTGGTGGCAGTCAGTATACAAGTACATGTGTGTTTATCATATAAAAATTATACCTTAGTGAAAAGCACAGAAAGGGTCAGAAAATACATTTATCACTATTGGAATAGAATACCACTATTTCAAGGAAGAAGATACTGGCACTTTTTAGATTCTAGAAACTTATGGCAGCTTTCAAAATGTGAAAGCATTAACCTTTGCTAAAACTCTTAGGAAAAACAATAATTACTACTATTTGAGGTACATATCATGTCAAGCTGCAAAGGCAACAACACACAAATCAGATAGTTTTACTCTTTTTTTACAACCAATACAAACTATTAAAGCAACAACACCACTCACTGGGAAGTAAACTTATTTGGTTTCCATTGTCAGTATTACTCCCCATAACTGTATCATTTGTTACTTGATAGGGATACCATTGGAATTTCTCTTATAAAGAGTTTCAGGCTACAGGAAGTCTAAAAGAATAAATGAAAGACCACATAAGTTTACAAATTAGTTTGTGATGGAAACCTATCATTGAAGCATTAAGGATTGCAAATTCCTGTGTAAGATAGTATCTTTTACAGCATTAAACACAACTTTAATATTCTCTGTATCAACTGCAGTTGTAAAATGGTGGAATAAAGGTTTCTTTGGATCCCTCTTAACTGACACAAATAGATCCAAAGTGTACTTCTGCACATCTGCAAGCTTGTGAGGATCGCCAGGAAATTCTGGGAAAAACCATTTGATGCTTGTTTCTTTAGACTGGACCTGAAACACAATTGAAAGCAATTGTTCAAAATGACATACTCAACTGCACAGCAGCATTTAATAAGATTCATTTGAAGGACCCACTTTGCTTACTGGACATACCTTTTCAACAAGAAGGTCAGTTTTATTAAGAAAAAGAATAATAGAAACACCCCTGAACCATTTATTGTTCACAATACTGTCAAATATAACCCTTGACTCCTCCAGTCTGTTAGTTTTTCTGAAAAAAAAAAAAAAAATTACACCAGAGGTTTCAAAAGTTCAAGGAAGGTACTTTGATTGATTGTAGAAAATAAAAGCGTTCAGGTTGAACCATACCGATCTTCTACTAAAACTTGGTCAAATTCAGAACTGGAGACTAGGAACAGAATGGATGTGACAGAGTCAAAGCACTGGAACCATTTTTGCCTTTGAGATCGTTGTCCACCAACATCTACAAATCGGAACGGAATCTTATTTATGTTGATAACAAATTCCGATATTCCTTTGGTAGCTTTTCGGGCATGTAGAATATCTTGGTTGGATGGTATGTAGTCCTGAAGTTCAGAAAAATATAACTATGATGTATAAGGCTCTTAAAGTTGTATAATTGATAATCCAGTTAGGCTAGAGAGAATGTTGATCTGCTCACAAGAGATCTTCAATAAAATTTGCACAACTTACCATTTTGGCTATCCGTTCCAAGTTATCTAGAAAGTATTGAACAGAGTCACTCTGCAAAGAAACAAATTTGTGAACAAAAAAAATAAGTCAGGATTGACCATATAAACAAGAACCAAATGACACCTGTTGCTGAGACTTCGTTGAAAAAATACAGAAATGTAAAAAGAACAAGAGTACAATTTTCCTAAAATATGGAACTGCCTACACTAAACATCAAAGAAGACAACGGATGACTAACATCCCAACAAAATGACAATGCAAGGTTAGGCAACAGGTTACAGGTTAGGATTTGAAGGTTAGGTCGGCGGCAGGCAATTGATACGTACCAGCTGAAACTCCCTTCTTCTTTCAAAAGCACGCCTGATACCAGAATCCTTCCAAAGGCTTTCTAGCGCTGTTATATAGTCCTGAAAGATTCTTGCGTCTAGTGCCTCTCCATTTTGATAACTCAAGACATGAAGACCGTGCTTAGCGTTACGCGGGTTTTCCCAAGCGATGGACAGCTTGTCACGCGCGTCAACTAAGACTTTCATGCCCTTCACAATATTCTGGTAAATGACATGCTGATATTCACGCACTAAATCCGGCTCAAACTTCACTCCGTGAATTATCCTCATCTGCTTGAGAAATGTTGACTTCCCACTCTCGCCAGCTCCTAGCAGCAGCAGCTTAACTTGGCGTTTGGTAGATTGCTTGTCCTTCTCAATCATTTTGTCAATCTCTTGACTTCTGTAACGCATTTCTATTTCTTCAGGACTAAATTTAAAGCGTAGACAACACGCACACGACCAACTTACGGTCGCCATCTTTCAAACTACTGCCTCGCCCTGCCCTTCCTCAGAAACACCGCCGCAGGATGAAGCACCCAAAACATCGGGCAAAACATTGGGGTGGAGGGGGAAGGGGCGGGGCGAGGTGAGGGAAGGAGGGGGCGTGAAAGGAGAGAGAAAGTCGGACCCCGCCCCTTCGTCTGCGCCTCATACTGCTCGAATGGAAGATGAGGGAGAGGTCTTTGCAGACAGATACATTATTGCTTCGGACAAATTCGTCGTGCGTAGTTGCGCTGAACACTACCATCCCGATCGCTCTCCCCCAGTTTTTTAACGCGTGCAGATGCGTGTACGAAGCAATGAGGACTTGTGCCCAATCAGGGCTCCAGCGGACAGCGTGCCGATCATCATGATAACCATGATCCCTGCGCCTCATCCCAGCGATGAGTCAATCGTCGCCGGTCCGTTTTTCCCGGTCCCCGTGAGCTGTGCGCCGGCGGGGTAGGCAACCCAACGGGTAGCGCCGCGCGCAATGCTGCCCTCTCAACCGGCCGACGGCGCTCGCAGCAGGCGGGCAGTCTCGCCATGGTCTATGGTCTCGCGGGCAGCCGCCGTGCTCTGTGTGTGTGTGAGAGAGGTGTGAAGGTTTCTGTTTCTGTTCGGTCGCGCCGTGGTCGCGCTCGGCCACGCCGGGAGCTAGTAGTCTAGAGCACGGACGCGCCGTGACCGGTCGTGTGGTGTGTGGCTGGCGTGAGCCGTGAGTGAGCACATTAGAGGAAGCCTGTCGCGTCAGTGACTTAGAGAGTGACAGTGACTGCCGCTACATGACGCGTGCAGCCGCCGGATCAAGGCCTGATCCACCCCTATCACTTTCCTTGAGCGGCTTCTCTCTGTTGGTGTCAGAGCGGGCTGAGATTTGGACGGCTCACGGTGAGAAGCGTTTCGATCCGAGCGCCCCCCCCCCCTTTCCTCTCTCGACGAGCCGCTTCTTGTCGCCGCAATCACAACACTTAGGTTTCTGTGATTGAATATGATAACGGACGTCGTGTAGGCGAAGCAGGCGAAGCAGGCGAAGCAGGCGAAGCGCGGCAGCCGCGATGTCCTCCGCCAGCACTGCCACCATGAGGACGGTCGTCGCCTGCGCCCTCGTCGGCCTGCTGTGCGGCCTGGCCCGCCCCGCGGAGGGCCTGCGGGTCCTGGGCCTGTTCCCGCTCCCGGGGCACAGCCACAACATCTTCTTCAAGGTGAGACCCAGCGTGCTGCTCGAGCCGGCCCGCAAGAAGAGACGCGCTGCGGCAGCTGTCATATTACGACGCATCAGCACTATGAGAAACTTGGACTTGTAACTGGACTTGAGAGAGATTTAGTGCAGCTTCTGCACACGGGCGGTGTCTAGGCGGCGGCAGCGCGACAGTCATTGGCGACGCGAAAGCTCGCCGTCGCCGCGCTGTGCTGACAAAACGAACTTGAAACAACGCAGCCTGCGGCGTGACCTTGGCGGGCCAGGTCTGGCGCGGGGTCAGGGAAATCGCTGTCCGGATCGCTTTTTCCCGCCGTGGGCGGCGGCGCTGCCGCCTATTACAGAAATGAGAACCAAAACGTGGTCAGACATCCGACTTAACTTGCGGAAGGCGGGCTCGTTTAGCTGTGTGCTTCACGGGAGTCCACTCGACCACCACTGGCGCTTAGCCAGGTCGCCTCACAGCACAGCGCCACACGAAACTTGCATGGGGCACTTCTTGTATTCAGGGCATGGGGACGGGCATCGCATAAGGATCAAAGTAAATCTAACCACCACACCATCCCGCAGGCCTTGATGGAGACACTGGCGGAGCGGGGCCACGAGGTCGTCGTGTTCAGCCCGTTCCCCCACAAGAAGGCCTTCCCCAACCTTACGGACGTGGACACGTCCAGCGGCGCGCCGTCCCTCACCAACAACTTCTCCTTCGACAAGGTGTCGAGCGCGGCCACCATCCTCCCCGGGCAGGCCATGTACCAGTCCATGACACGCATCGGCGCCATGTCGGGCGCCAGCCTCTGTCGCCAGGTGAGGATACACGTCTGAGTTGTCCGCACGGAGAAAGAAGTTCGGGCCTACCGTATCGTACTCCCAAAAGTTTGGACAGATTTGAAAGAAAAGTACTGTTCAAACTTTTTCAGGCGTATCGGTCACTAAACGTTCTGGTGCAGAGTCTAAAGGTTTCAGTCTGACACCGAAACGGATTAGGTGTGACTGATAAAAAGAATAATACAAACTCAGTTTTGTGGTCTGCTGGCCTATGAACTTTTTTGCCCCCCTCGTGCGAGCCTGTCTTTTTTTCTGGGCGTTCTGTTCGGGCGTTGGGCGTTCGTGTGAGGCTGAACGCTTTTCAAAAACGCTCAACGCCTCCTCACACCAACGCTCAACGCCCCAACGCCCCAAAAAAGCGCTAAGTGCTAAGCTATCTTCCTACCCATGAAGTAGGCCTCGACCCTTTTAACTGGTCTAAACCGTTCGCTCCAGGTCTTCAGCATGCCCGAGTTCGACAAACTCATGAAGGGTGGCTACGGCCGCTTCGACGTCGTCTTCACCGAGATCTTCGGCTCGGACTGCTGGGTCGCGGTGGCGCACAAGATGGAGCTGCCCATCATCAGCATGTCCTCCGCGCCGGACGTGTCCTGGATGCACGAGCGCTTCGGCTCGCCGGACAACCCCTCGTACCTCGTCAACGTGTTCACCGGCTACACCTCGGCCATGAGCCTCTGGGAGCGGATGATAAACGCCTGCACGGCTCTCTATGTCAACTACCTGCACAAGGTGGCTGCCACTGCTCTGCCCCCCACCAAACCAAGTCCAGTGGCTCTGCCTTCTAATGTTCCCATGTAAACGTCTTTGCACCCAGATCATCATCCAGGATCCCAGTGACGCGGTCGTCAAGGAATTCTTCGGTCCGGACATGCCCCCCATCTCCGAGATGATCAAGAAGACGAGCCTCGTGCTGCTCAACCGCCACCTCAGCATCCACGCCGCGCGTCCCGTCACCCCCAACGTGGTGCACGTCGGCGGCCTGCACATCAAGGTGAGTGCCCGGCGCGGAAGCACAGTGCCCCCCCCCCCCCGGGGACTCTAAGCTTAAGGACCCCCCCTTGTCGCAGCCCTCCAAGGACGAGGCGATGGACCCCGAGCTACGGCGCTGGATGGACGAGGCGGAGCACGGCGTCATCTTCTTCTCGCTGGGGTCCATGATGCGGTCCGACACCTTGCCGAAGGACAAGCGGGACGCGCTGCTGGGCGCCTTCAGCAAGCTGCCGCAGCGCGTGCTGTGGAAGTTCGAGACCCCGGACATCGACCTGCCGCCCAACGTGCGCATCGGCAAGTGGCTGCCCCAGCTCGCCATCCTGAGTAAGTCGTCGACGCCGGGCGACGCCCTCGAGGCGGATCCCTCGGCGGGGCGTATCCCATCGCGTGTGCCATCGACTTAACTGATTGCGACCTCTCTCTCTCCCGCCAGCACACCCCAAGACCATCCTCTTCATGACCCACGGCGGCCTGATGGGGACCATGGAGGCGCTGCAGTCCAGCGTCCCCATGCTGGGCATCCCCCTCTTCGCCGACCAGATGTCCAACACGGAGCTGTACCGGTCGCTCGGCATCGCGCAGCGGCTCGACATCCGCACCGCCACCGAGGAGAGCACGCTGGCCGTGTTGCGCGAGCTCACCGAGACCTCCAAGTGAGTGGCGACGCCATGGCGTGACCCGTCGGTCGCCACTTTAGCGTGATTGCGAAGCGTCCGATTGCTTGCGGCCCTTATCAGCCAGACCAGACAGACGCTGCGCGTATCACGGTGCCGCACTCGAGGGGCAGGTGCGAGGTGTGAAAGCGATACAGGGTGGCCCACAGACCCCATCCTTTATGTTGTTTATACTGTACCGGATGCGGGCCTGCGAGCGGGTCGCATAATCGCACGGGGCCATAAGCCGCCGCGGTGAACAACGGAAGGCAAGCCCGCCCGCAAGCCAGCCTGACAGTATAAGCAAAATAAAGGAGGGAGTCTGTGGACCACCCTGTATGTGCTAGGCGTGCTAGGCTGTGAGCGGGGGTTCATAGCAGGCACTCCCCTCTTGAACCTGCCACTCGATCCCGAGGGGTGCGTCGTCACTACTACCTCCAAAGACTTTTTACTAAAGATCCAATCACCAATCGCATCGCACTCTGCCCACAGGTACAGGGACCGCGCGCGAGAGGTGGCGCGCCTGTTCCGCGACCGCCCCCGCCACGCCGCGGACGAAGCCGTCTGGTGGACGGAGTACGTGGTGCGCAACCAGGGCGCCATGCACCTGCGGCCCCTGGGCGCCGACCTGGCCTGGTACGAGTTCCTGCTGCTGGACGTGGCCGCCGTGCTTCTGGCCGCCGCCCTCCTCGTCGGCGTGCTGCTCAAGGTCGCCCTGGGGGCGCTGTGCGGAAAGAGCAGCGAGACGAAAATCCAGAAGAGGAAAAACAAGAAGGAGTAGGGAGGCAAGGAGGGGATGAGAGGAGAAATGTGGCGTTTCTGTGATATTTAATTTATTCAGTCTGCAAAAATCTACGATCCTCAGATTTCAATTGCTGGCGCGTCCGAACTGTGCCAAATTCCCCATACACTGTTTATTTTATAAGAGTAGACGAGTAAAACCTGTCAAGTACAATAATAAAAGTGCATTTTGGGGGAAGAGTCTTTTACCGTGAGACTGAACCCAGGCCCTCAGACACTCCAGACTATTTCGTAGTTATGCCGTATCACATGCACGCGTGTGTGCGGGTTGCCTACTTTCTGCCGTAGGGCGCCATTCATGCACGGGCGCCAAACATGTCCCCATGTGAACGTGTCAGTGCCGACATGCAGACCCGTCCACCTACATGTGCATCACGGGCATTTAATGCGCCACCGATGTGTGAACTTTCATGTGAATTTCTTTCTATGCGCATTCCTTCCGACGCTTATCTCGAAGGCGGAAAGTCGAGGAAAGTACATTCAAGTAAATGGAAGTAGCGCTACCCTACGCAGACAAAAACAATCAAAAGATGAAGAACGTTCGTACACCGTAGCTGTTGGCGACTTCTCTGATCGCGGGAACAGCGCTTCCATCCCAATCAGAACATACCCCAGGCTCGGTAGGGTATAGGATAGGCACCTCGTCGTCCCTAGTGAGTCGCCTGTAAAGTGGGAAATGAAATGCTACAAAACCCATGCATTATGTCGGCAACCTTCGTACACCTCCCCTCCCCTTTTCCGGTCAGCCGAACCTTACACCGCACCTGGAACATATGGTCCCGTATCTATGAAGGTGTATCCGCTGGGAACGTTGTGGGGACTTCCCCGCAGTAGCGCCGATCTAGAAAAACGCATTGGAATGCACAACCAAGGTATGAGACTTTTTCGACGCCTTAAATTAATACGCGTTACCGCTTTAAATGGGCGTGGATTGCGCGTAATGCACGTTCAATGAAGTGTTTTCTACCTATTATCGCGCTGAAAGCTTTTAAAACTTCGCGCCTCCGCCGTGGCACACAACAAAAGAATAACGTCCGCACCGCAGACCGCAGACCGCAGACCGCAGCGCAGCACAGCGGACTTGAGTGCAGACTCTTTGCAGACTGAACAGAACGCTGGGCAATTTACTGTTTGAAGAAAATAATGTCCAAGTCTTCAGGTTTCTCTTTTGATATTTGATGATAAACCAGTCATGATTAGGAAATTAGTGGTAGTTTCATAAGACCGTTAAGTTTTTTTGTACCCGCTGAAACTTTTAATTCATCAGCTATGGTAAGTGTCAACATTGCTGTTTTCGTCTGTTTTACCTACAATTTCCCCTTACAAGATGTAGATGTAAATGTTTTTGGTTTTCTCTTGCGTTTTGTTGACGGATTCCATCAGGTTTTTTGTTTCCTTTTCTTCTCAAGCCCCTAACAAGCCATATGTACAATCCTAACCTCTTCTGTGTGTTGTTTTGATTTCACATTTTATTGGTCATTCGCTTCGAAAGTTATGTAGCCAACGTTTTACATTTTGTACTAATTTTTCAGGCTGAAATGAGACTAGAAAATATGGCTTTAACAGCCGAAAATCTACAGATGTTGATTTCTCACTTCTACTCTGAGAGTAATAATCCCACTGAACAAATGCGAGCACACTCCCTCTTGTCACAAGCCCAAGCATCACCAGCTGCTTGGAGCTTTGTGTGGGATCTACTTTTTTTGAATAAGGTGAGTAATTCAATTAAGTGATATAATTTTATACTTTAAGGTATTGATGATGTTAAGCATTTGATTGAGACATTGATTCATTCATTCATTACTTCCTCTCATACAGTCCGCTGAAGTTCAATTTTTTGCTGCATCTACACTTCATTTAAAACTTGTCAAGTTTTGGCCTGAACTACCTGCTGAACAAAGACCTGCTCTACGTGAAAAGCTTATGTCAACCATTATGACGTTCTCTTCTGGGCCCAAAATAGTGCTAAGCCGTTTGTGTATAGTGGTAAGCTTTTCTTATAGATAAAATTTATTTGATTGTGTTTTGTTCTGTAATTCTTACAAGTGTTTCAGTTTGATATAGTTTTTACCTTGTCATCTCATCATTGTTATTTTTTATTTTAGATGGCAACAATGGCTTTGCAAATGCTTCCTGAAGATTGGCCAAACGCTGTGGAAGAGATAGTGGAGCACTTGACTTCATCTAGGCAGACCCAAATACACTCTGACAGAGCATTGTGGATTCTGCTAGAAACCCTGACTGTCTTGGCTGAAGAAACACAGTCAAGTACATTCCAGCAACAGCATCGTGAGAGTGTGAGAGCAAAGCTTGACCAATCAGCCCCTGGAGGTATACACTTAATTTTAACCATGTAGTTCTCAAAGAAAAAATGTATTTGTGAAATTTTGTCAATTTTCATGGTTTCCAGTTCTTCCTGTTGTGTGAACCTTCTACATATTTTCTTCTTTTTTTTTTTTTACAGTTTTTAAACTCCTTGAAAAAACTATACCTGATGGAATTCCTGATTCTTCAGTTACAAATATTGATAATATTTGTCAAGCAATACGTTGTTCAAGTGCATGGCTACAACTGCACCTACCACTATCACTCTGTAGTACGCTTTCATCTAAACTAATAAATGTTGTTAAAATGTGTAGTCAAGGACATGATACAAGTAACGCAGGGTAAGACAGAGCCTGAACCCACCTTCAATTTTATGTAAGCAAGAAACAAGAGAAGAATTTTAAATTTTTAAAAATGTTTTTGGTTTTCAGAATGGCTGATCTTGCAGTTGACGCACTCACAAATTTATTGTGCCGCCCTAATAGTCACAAATTTCCTGCTACGGTAATGCAAATAATGGAAGAATATGTCAGTTTAATGGACATAGTGCAAGTTCAGTTGAATTCTCCTGAGCCTGACGAGGTTTGTTACCATTTTAAAGTACATTCTGTCATTTATTATGTCTTTGTCACAATTTTGCCATGTTGTTTCATTGTTCAAATTGGCTTTCTATTTTAGGGTCTGGTCTGTGCTGTGTTCACCCTCATGGTATCAGTGGCTGAAAACCATTCACACTTACTTCTTGATTCCTTACTTCTTCCTGAAGGGGCTTCAGCAAGGAATACTGCCATGCGCCTTATTCAAGGTATCCTTCAGTGCTCCAACATGCCAGGCCAATATCCTCTTGAAGAAAACTGCTCTCAAATGGCTTTCGGATTTTGGTATATGCTTCAGGTAATATAATCCATCCATACATACTTGTAGAAAATTGTAATACCAAATTAACTTTCAACTCTTTTCATTTCTTTTTTAAAGGATGATGTTATAGGTTCTGATCCTACACCATATCATCAGTTGGTACAATTACTTGCCCCAGTTTATGCAACTTTAGCTGAGATACTGTTGCATAAAAGTATGTTGCCTGAAAGGAATGATCTTGAAAGCAATTGGAACAGTGAGGACAAAGAGAGCTTTCGCTGTTACAGACAAGATGTAGCAGACACTTTGGTTAGCTTTTCCTTTGATTCTAATTATTTTTTGTTTTTTGATGGTGCATTTCTTACTTTGTGTAACCAATCTGCCGTATTCTTTTTATTCTCTTCAGCTCTATTGTTATTCAATCCTTCATGAGTCCTTACTACAATTATATTGGAACAAACTTGATGCTGCTCTACAAAGTCTTCAAACCAACCCTACTTCATGGCGGCACTTGGAAACAATTTTACATGGATTCTTGTCTGTAGCTGAAGTTGTACCAATGGAAGAAGATCGCTTTCTGCCCAATCTACTTGCAGGCTTAAAAGCTCTCCCTTTAAATCACTTAGATGTTAGAGTTGCTGGCACAGTTTTGGAGACTGTTGGTTAGTCATCCAATACCTTCTCCATCATAATGCAGTACTATCAATTCATAAATCACATCACAATTTTTTTTAAAAATTTGCAGGCGCCTATGCAGAATGGATCAATCATCATCCCTTAGCACTTCGAGATGTGATGCCTCTTCTTCTTATGGGATTAGATTGTGCGGAAGTTGCAACATCTGCTACAATGGCTTTGAAAGATCTAACAAGAGATTGCCAGCCCTCTATTTCTCCTTTCTGCTCACCTATACTTCTTGCAGCCAAGGTAGCTAAATGGTAAAGAAGTTTTGTTTTTTTGGAAACTAACAATGAATACTAATACTTTTCTCAAACATCTATCTTTCAGCAAGCTTTAGCTGCAGGTCATTTAAGAGCGGCTGAAAGCATTAGAATGATGCATATTGTGGGTCGAGTTTTGTCAATTTGTCCCTTACAAGACATTCTTTCATACTTGGATGAAGTTTTACTTCCTCGGGTAACAGAACTACAAGAGCTTGCTCATCAAGTGGTAATTTTACATATTTTTCATCCATTTTTTAATGTTAATTTTTTAAATGATTTTTACATTGAAATATTGAAATGCCAAATTAAAATCACTTTTGCAGCCAAACGCACATGTCAAGGCAAACATTCTGTTACGTTTACGTATGGTTAGCACATTGTTCTCCACATTAGACACTCGGCTGCCAACTGATGAAGAATCAGGGGAAGCAGGTCTTGTTGTGCCAGCCAGAACTGGCAGTGGTGAAGGGGATGCTCCTGAAGTTCAACCTGTCCAAGTCATTTTGCGTTGGCTGCTTCCTGTGCTTAAAACAGTTATAGAGCATTGGGCCAGTGATGAACACATTATGACAGTATGTACAGTATCTATACCACTCATTATGTATTTCTTCTGTTTTGAAACATTTTTAAGTCTTAAAATGTTTTTGTACAGGCTGTTAGCTCTTCCCTTAAATACGCATCTGGAACTCTGTTGGATGATTGTAAACCACTCTTGCCTGATATGGTTAACCTTTTGACTGCAGCATTTTGTTTACACCCTCAACCGTCTCTTCTTGACACAGCTAAGCAGGTACAGACTAAGTTTAAAACTAAATTTAACCTTGTTTCTATTTTTCTTATTGTATGTATGTTAACGAATATAACAAACATAACAAACTTATTGGTTTTTCTCTAGCTGTTAATAATGTTTGTTACCGACACTGATCATGCTGCATTAATGCGAGGGATGCTTGCTGACTGCACTGAGGTGTTCTTACGAGTGTGCAGATCAGCACCCAATTTATCTCCTCAGTCTGATCTCATTCAAGCTTTCTACAACATGCATCTCAAGTTAATGAAAAAAGATATTCACACTGTATCCCAAGCAGTTGGAAATAATTTATCTGAGATTTTTAAATGTGGTATGTTTGAACATTTTTTCAATGTTCTACTTTGAAAAGATTTTTTGAACATATTTAAAGTCTTTTATTGCTTTACAGGAATGGTGTCTCTCAGTTTACCAGAATGTGGGGCCTCTAAGGCATCTGCAGCCTATCTATCATATTTTATCTTAGGTAGTAGAGAAGTGCCTCATATGAACCAAATTGTAAAGGAGTTTGGTCATGATCTTACATCTCGGATCTTAAGATGTATAGGTAACTATTTACTTTCCTCTTGTGTTAGCTCATTTGCTCATCATCTCCCACTCCCCCTTAAAATTATTATTATTTCATGGTTTGGCAGGTGGAGAAACTCCAAGACAGTGCATGGACCCCTTAATAGATGTTCTTCTAGCTCTGAACAAAAAATATTGTGAAGATCTTGCACGTTGGTTGCCAACTTTATTATCCCAGGAAAATTTCCCCACACCACGTCCTACTATGACCGAAAAAGAACAATTTGTCCAAGCGGTCTTGAGGTTGGTATTTCTTAAATACTGGGGATTTACACATCTATTTTTTTACATTTATTGTTATCTTTAAAGTTTAACTTGACACTTTTTTGTTTCATTCAATTAGAGAAAAGGCCAACAAAAGAAAGCTGCAAGATAAAGTTCGTGCATTTTCCCTTTTATGTCGAGGTTTGGTGAATGAATACGGAGAACAGCAGAGCCCATTTTTCTGACCCATGGACAATGACTCCTTTTGTGATTTTGATGTGAGTGAGTAATAGCCATTTAAACTGTACATGTTCCTATAATATCAATGTGGAATGAGTGAGTTTTTTTTCATGTGATCTATACTTATTCCTTTAAATAAATCATGTATTGTATCAGATATCAGGTTGAAGTACCTCATTGGGGTTAAAAGACACACTTGATGAAAGGCCATAGTATGTACTTATATTACTATTCTGAATATGTTCAATTTGAATTTTACTTTTATTATTTTAGAGTGACCCATCCTTAAAAGGTTTTATTTCCAAACTAGTATGTGTGTACTCTATGTCCTGGTTTTTGTATTCTGTGATCCGAGGGATTAGCAATCTTGTAAATGGTGTAATACAAGTAAATCCATACTTTTTTTAAAAGGGAATTATTTTTATTGACTGCGCATATCAATTAATATGTTCTAGAAAATTTCAAACCAAGCTCTAGAACTTAAAATTCAATAAGATTTAAAAAAAAAAACAAATACATTTTTCCTGTGTATTTGTGTTTAATTTTCAGGGGTTGATGAAACTGTACATGGCCAAATTAAGCTTTGCAATTCTAATTTTTAGCGTGTATTTTTGTAGTGTGGGCCATTTTGGAGATTTTCTCCACAACTCTCCCTAGTTAAAAGTCAAATTTAAATTTAAATTGAACATTCAACTCCCATGTAAAAACCGAAAAACTACTTGTTTCAGATGGTCGTTTAAAGTATTTCAAAGATTATGGCGACCAGTACAAATTTGAGTTCTAAACTCCTAGTTAGACAATTTTTATGAGCAAATCCTTGTTTAATGTTTTAAAATTATGAAGGCCATTCTTAATTTAAATCTTTACAAATCATTGTTTTTAAAACCCTGTGATTGATAGTGGTATATTATATCAGCTCCAGGTGAGATTTTTATAATGTGTTGAGTATGATGTAGATGAGTAGGACATGCATAAATTTGTAAATAGTTTTTCTTGCAGATGTAAAGTGTACAATTCAAGCTCTATCATTAAGTTTGAAAAACTAGTAGTTCAATCTAGTCAGACATTGCTGAAGTGTTGCTATTCCTGGTAGTGCAATGGGTTCCTTCACTTTTAAGTCACTGTATTTAGGAAGACTTTAAAAACTGCTATCTACCTATGTATTACATTCATGTATTTTATACATGAAAAATAAGAATTTAGTCTTATGGGAAAAAGCAGCATCCTGTTGTTTGATTCACAGTAGTACTGTTTTAGTGTGTTATTTATTTTTTCCATGCAAGTTTGGTTTATACCCTGTTCATACAGTCAATTGACTACCGGTAATCCAACAGTATTATGTTTCTAATTTTAACATAATAATGAATCGTTCAATTAAAATTATTTTCTCAAGTCTCTTAGATTAAAATTCACAACTGATTGGTGTTTGCAGTTTTAGTACAATAGACTTAAAATGATCTTTTTTGAAGCAAGATAGTTCATTCTAAGTTCCTCAGTGATAGTGTTTAGTCAGATGAAGTGGATAGCTTTTTTAGGCATATCAATAATGTTTCACCCTGTTTAGTCTAACTTCTTAGTCCTATGACTACTATGTGGAACTAGTTATGTGTAGTTCATTGGATGTTGTTGAGTACTCTGTGATGTGTTTTAAGAAGCATATCTGTCTACAGTATCATGGTCATACACAAACTGTCTCAAATTTTGTATGTTGAGATGAAAAGTCTGAATGTGATTAACATAGCATTCCTGCCACCTTCTTCCTAAATTATTCTTTGCCTTTGTAAAGATCATGTTGTCCCTTTCCAGCCCAAGTCTTCTTGTCTTACCTAAACTGTGTTAACAACAGAGTCAGTGTTTTGAGGTATGCTAAATGTGTGATGACACTTTATGGTATAATATTCAGTTTGCAGTCTGAAAAGTAGATCAGACATAGGAGTAGGAGTGGCTTGGAATCAATTATCAATTTGCCAAGAAAAGTCTCATTTTCTATTAAATGATAACATTTTTGTTCATGCCATACGTTTGTTAAAAAGCCACCTATGAATCATATTTTTGCACTGTCTGTCTACTATCTGTGTGTTTTGAGTGTAATTTATTGTTTGCACTGTGATACTAAGTGTAAGATTCGATCTGATATTCTTTTAAAGAAAGGGAAATTGAAGTCAATGTTTGTGGTTTTTGTGGGCTTTGTCTGTGTTGCCCGCCACTATACCAAGCTGTTTAATTTTCTTTTTTAATGCTGAAGTGACCTCTAAGTTTGAAAGAAATAATTCGATGTGGAAAATCGCTTTCTCCTTATTGCGAAGGCCCTCCTCTGTCCAACTTGCACTGCACCTGTGTTGATGAGCGGATCGCGCCGTCGTGCAGGAATGCTGGGATGGGTATAGGTTCTCAACACGGGCCACGCGTAAAAGCCGGGACAATACCTGGGAGGTACGCAGCACATCGAAAGCTGTGTCGCAGGCGCGGATCTACAGATTTCTGTGGGCATTACTTGTGAGGTAGTGTCGCGCTTTTTGCAGACAGATTGCTCTGCACGTTGCCTGCCTACTTCGGGCGTTTTCTCAATGGTGTCTGTCGATATGTACGGAAATCAGTAAGTGCGCGTCTTTCGCCTTTGAGCTCATTAGCACATCGAGTCCTACGCGGTCACATGGTGGCTACGATTGCTGGAAAACGACACCCCTCGATATTTTCTGGGACTCAAGGCGTTGGACCGCCTCGTTGTTATCTCTCCTGGTCATGACGCAGCAGCGAGTACAACTTCGTGAATATCTCTTTGTCACTCGTGTCGCACCATATGACCACTCCAAGTCGTCTGTGGCTGACTAGAAAAATTAATTGGGAAGAGTATGGGACTACGTAAAACCATTAATTTCAATTATCTTCGATTTTTACTGCAGATTTCGCATTTCTCGTCACTACTACTTCCCCCGTGTCTTCCCAGACGCATTCCGCTTTTACGGGTGGCGGCCGTCTGTCATACCTGAAATAAGACTGTTGACACTTTTGTCGCGCTGTGTGTGATGGTGACCGCGGGGGGTAATCGTGCAGAGCGTGCCGAGCGCAACCCAGCGGCGCCACCGCCACGCCGCATGTCCATGGCCCGGCGGTGGTCGCTACAACAGGTGAGGTGACTGCCGAGTCGAGCCGGGCCGAGCCGAGCCGGCCGGGCCACGGCAAGCTCGGGCTACTACTGGCGGCACGCAAAGGCGCGCCGCGCACACATCGCACCGGGACCTCCGGGACTAGACACGGCGGACGCAGCGCCGCACCCTCAGCCCTGTCCGCGCTTGTACGGCATAGCCGGCCGGCCTGAGCCAAGCAAGCTAGACGCGTCCCGCAGCCAGCTGGGCCCGCCCGCCTCATTGAGCTAGATCAGGAAGGCGGACGCCGGACGCGGGCACAAAGCAACAGCTGAGCCACAGCTGAGCCCAAGCACTGCGGACCAGCCCCACTGCCCCGCTTCGCCATGTTTCACAACTGGTAAGTGCTTTATTGTTGTTTAGTTGTGGATGGGGGAAGGTGTTGATCGAGTGATTCCACGATTTGGTTGGTGTCTCAGCAGCCACATTCCGAAGTTTCGAAAGGAAATATTATTGTTTTGTTTTCCTTGTTGGCGAGATTTTTTTTTTTTTTTTTAAGAATTACTCTTTTTGAAAGCCGTATTGACCTTCCAGCTTTTTCATCCTGATTGATCTAAGACTTGGTAGGCACCACCCAGTGCATAATGAAGTCGAAATAAATGTCGAAAGGTTATCAGAACGACGCGATTTTGTCGTTTTGATAACCTCTTTCCTCGTGGCATTTCGCTTTAACAGAACTAGGCAGAAGCTAGACCACGTCTCGCGTAACAGGCTTCGACGCTAGCGAGCCGCTTTGAATACCGCATGGAAATAAGTGTTCGAGATTTATTTGCGTTCAGTAAGTGTGCTAGGTTTCTTCTCAAACCTAATATGGTTCGGAAGCGGCTAGGTCCCAGTCACGGTCCATATAAGATTGACACACAGGTCAGATAGAATGCAGTTACAAGTTGCCCAGGCATATCCCGGACAGTTCTCGGACATAAGTGAGGTCTGGTCATAGTTCGGATTTCAATACTTGTACGGTAATCGAACAGGCCGCTAACAGAGAACTATCTGGCTACTGTCAGTGAAATAGGGGAGAGGGCAACAGAAGTATATGCAAAGAGGTACATGAGCACCATCAGACCTCTCGGACAGTCTGCAGACATGCGTCGCACTGGCGAGAAAAAAGGCCGCGTGCACACAGAGTGGAACCCTAGACTCTGGATGGGCGCTGCTCACCTTGCCAACTGAGCTATCCAGCACGGGAGGGAAGCGGCTGGAAGCGTCCTACGCAACGTTCGCCCGTTCACGAGCCGCCGGCATTCGCAACAAAACATTTGCTCCGGGGATCGTCCTCCCCCCGTGTCCGCGTCACCATTGGAGACGTGGCCACCAGGTGGTCGCGCCGCAGTCGCGGGTCCGACCGCCCGGCCCGGGCCGGTGTCCGCCGGTGTCCTGTGCGCCCCTCGCGTCCGCGGCCCCGTTACGGTCCGCTCGCCGCCGCGGCTGCCAGGTCTAACGCGACTTTGAAGGTAAAGTCTCATAACCTCGGGCAATAGCCGCGCGGAGCGGCGCGACGAGCACGAGTGCATCCGTTCCGTTCTCCGACGCCGCCAAGCGCAGATAGGGAGTAGAGGGAATGAGCACACGTTTTAAAAAAAAAATCAGCTGTCATTTCGCAATAAGGGGTATTTATTTCGTGAACTAAATTTCCAAAGTCCTTAGAGATTTCCTAAACGGCCTGTCGAGGGGTGACGTTCGGGATCGGCTAGAGAGGACGTCCGCTTTTCTCAGATGCATTCGGCGAATCACGGGAGCTCGGCGCCTGCGAGACTCGGGGTAGGCCAACCCGCAGTACACGCATGCAATGCACGCAATTTGTTGCCTACCTACCAGGCGCTAACAGAGCCAGCTAGGCTCATCTTGGCATTTAGAAACGGCGCATTGCGGACGTACTGTCTGCGAAGCGTGGCCACCGTGTGCCCACAGGGGACTCAAAGGTTTCCAGCTTGAAAAAAAATGGGCGCCTACTGATAAACCAAGTGCGCAACTCTTTATTACCTGCAAGTGTGCAACTGCAACTTAAATGCTTGGAAATGTTCGACTCGGTAGTTGTGCACTTAAAAGTGTGAAGCAGTTGCAGACTACTTGGTTCAACAGTGTACCGTGTGTCGGGGCTACGACACACAGTGTTGCGGGGTTGCCTACCCTTCGAGCCATGGCACCCTCAGCGAATGGAGTGAGCAGGCTTGCACACTGCTCTGTCGTGGTCCTGCTGACACACGGTTCATTAATTTCGGAGAAGAAAATGTTATGTTGCTGAACTAATTAGACGCAAGTATGTATGCCCATTAATTGTGCCGACCATCGCTGGCAATTGAGTTGCATGCCTTCAGCCGAGAAGGATTTTCTTGTCTCTTAAGATTACGGGAGCTTTACTTTGTTATCCCATCCAAGCCCTCTCATGATAGTGCGACAATGGCGCAAAACGACTAGTGAATAAAAAGAAACTAGTTGCAGGAACTACACCTTCACCAATGATAGTTTAATGGCTAGGAATTGTTACTGGGATTATAGAAAGCTTTACAAGAATGTTGGTATTAACTAACGTTATCAGCACAGGTCACGTTAAACACTTGCATACCAAAGACACGTCCGTCTGGCAAAGCTGATTATCGTGATTATCTCACCAACTGGATATCGCGATGTCTTAAATCAGGGCTTGTCAATCAGAGTAAGGGAGAGTGGGGCACTCACTGTCAGGGGCATATACTGTCAACAGACTCACAATAGCTCCCCATTCAACTTTACGGTCAGCTAAATTGTGAAATTCGTCACCTCTTAACCCCTACATTCGATTGCAAGATGGGGGTAGCGAAATTTTCAGCGGTATATGGTGGCAGCGGTCATCCAAAGATTTATTGACAGCAAATGCCTCCACATTGGGACAGGTAAATTCACTCATTTTATGACCTATTGCAGTAAGGGCAGTTTTAGTGTAATTTTGTTTGTAGGGGCGATATAGACTTAACTTGACTAACCATGGTGACAAAATGTGCCCCAACCCCGGGGCACATACTGTGAATTACCGGGGTCTCTTCTCGCGATGATTTGATTTGGAAGAATACACGAATGATTTTTCGGGGCCTAAACTACGACTTCTACGCTGGTAAAACAAGTGTTTAATGTTGCATGTGAATTGGTGTTTAAGTTCAAGTGTGCATTTTCTCAAAATATTGTGGTGTCTAACTAGGTTAAACGTCATTTGGTGTTTAAACTTTCGACACTTCCGAAAAGTATAGCAGCTGCACACCGAATGGTTCCTGTATAATTGTGTGTCCAAGTGTGCAGAAATTAAATGTTTACAAAACGGTTATAATGTGCACACCACGCAAGGGTGCGAATTGAGTTAAACACCATGTAATGTTTAAAATCATAACTTGCACACGTTGGTGTTTAAATTAGGCACACTTGTTTTACCAGTGTGGAGAAGGTTTTCCAAAAAGTGACAATCTGTGCCCCACTCTCCCATAACGGTCGCACGGTGAGAAAATTGTCTGCTTTTGAGGGAGAAGGGGAAACTTTGAGGAACTTCCATGTTTGAGAAAAAAGCTCCTCAGAGCCTTGAATTTTGAGGAAAAATGAGGAAACATCCCACATTTTTTGAGGAGACTTTCTTGAAATCTGCATGCGGGCGCGGACTGGTATATACCCATTCGCTCCAACGGGGTAAAACGTCTGTTTGTATCGGTAACGATCGAGAGTCGACGCGCCCTAACAACAAGATCCTATCTGCAGCTCGCCGAAATACACAAAATCCTATCTGCAGCGCACCCAATACACAAGATTCTATCTGCAGCGTGCCGAATACACAAAAGTCTATCTGCAAAACGCGGGTTTCGGGATACCTCCAAAGAAAGTGCTTATTACTCCGTATCCGCTCGTTCTACTTAACTTATTGCAGTCAATAATTGAACATTGGGATTCTTTCCGTGTGCGCAGATTGCCATAAATATCTTCCACATACTTGCAAACCACACAAAGGTGAATAGCTGCACCCATCCTCGTTTTGCAGATATACTTTTGTGTATTCGGCACGCTGCTGATAGGATCTTGTTGTTAGGACGCGTCGGAGTGGGCACTTAAAAGGGTGATGTCATTACACTTCTGCGGGTCAGGAGCATTCCGATAAATAATAATTGCTTGGAGTAATGACTTGACATATTATCTACCCGCCACTACACGTGGACTAGGATTACGGGATTAATGAGTTGAAATCCCGGTATCTTATCATTAGATTCAGTCCTACTCAGTATGACGTTTGGCGTGGTATGACGTGAACCCAAGGGGAAATTACATGCACAATACATCGTACGACTGTACGCGAAATTAATGCGAAATAAAAGCGAAATCGAAATAGTGCTAGACAAGCACGAAATAGACGGTAAAATAATCGATAAACATCCCCGGCATACCACAAGTACTCCGAACACGACACAAACAATGCCCGATTTTTATTTTTTTTGGTAAAGGGAAAACTTTGAGGAACTGATCAGTCGTCCTCAAAATGACTTTGTCAAAGTTTTCCCCCTTTTCCACAAAAATCGAGCACTTTTTACCTATTTAAGGAATAAAAAAACGCTATAAACGCGAAATATTCTGAAATTATTGTGAAATACATACTACGTGCGCTGTGTTCCAGAGTGATTTCCCTCACCTCAGGTAAACCTTGGAGCATGACTTTCTGAATATTGCCCATTAAAAATTAGGTTTATGAAGACCGCGCGCGTCGCGTCTCGCGTGACCACAGAGCTTAAAGACAACCAAAAGTGGGCAAAGATAAAAACAGCAAAGAAGGTGACGTTTGGTGAATCATCAAAGTGTTTGCTAACAGACCGGTGCAGACACCCGTCGGGCAGAGTAATACACAAATTCTTATCTCTTTTATGAGTTCGCGTTATGTCCGGATATGGTCGGTTCGCAGAGAGTTTGCAAGTGGAGGGGTTCGCCCATATCATTGGATCAAGTACCAGAGCCTTAGGAATGCGCTCTAGCCAGATTTCCCCTTTCTGGAAACTCGAGTGTCGTACAGTGTCACAGTTTCAAGAGCAGTTGTTTGTGTACGACAACTTGCGTCCGACAGTTACAATTGACGGACTGTGCGGTAGTTGAAGGGAAGGTGGTGTAGTCCTACACAGAAAACTGTAAGTACTCATTGTGTCCTACACTAGCACCAGCAGAACCGTTGGCGCTGCACTGAGCGACTGTACTGTGCGTTTCAAGAGCTTTCACGGTGCTCGACTCATGTTTGTCCTTTCATTTTCGCGTTCTCTGAAGCACTGCTTTATCCGTCTTCATTGCAACATTTTACGATGCATTGTGCATCGTCTGGCCGCCGGCCGCTTTGTGTTCCACATGCTCTACCGCGACGTGACATTTTACTCGCGGCGCCCCACAAATCTCTTTATTAGTGCGATCTTTGCTGAAGGCCGTGGCGCCCTGTCCGCCCCGCACTGCGCCGCCGTGCGTGGCGCTAAGCCCTGCGCCTTGGGCACAACTACACTGATAAACCGAGTTGTGCAACTTCTTAAGACTTTGTAAGTGTGCCACTGAGTTGAACACTACTTGAAAGTATTCAACACCGTAGTTGTGCACCGGTAAGTGTGCAGCCCCGCTGTAAAACGCTTCCTTAGATTGGGCGCTTTAATGTGTGAGGAAGTGTTAAACAGAGTAGTTGTACACTGGAAGTTGCTTACGAAGAACAGGTTCGTAAGGCAAACGAAAACGTTTGTAGCTTATGAAAGAAGCACGATATTACGAACAAATTCTTCGTAAGCTGTAAGATGACGAACAAATAGTTTGAAATGCAAATCGACGGTTCGTTAGAACCTTCCCAGCCTTACAAACAATTGCTTTTCAATACAAACAATTGCACCTCAATACAAACAATTGCTTGGCAATACAAAGAATGAAAGATGGTTCGTAACGTTGCAAAACATTCACTTCGTAAGCATTTAACACTTACAGTGCACACTTAAAGTGCACTTCGACGAAGTTAAAAACTTGAAGGTATTTAACTTGTAGTTGCAACCTTGGTTTTTCTCACTCTTGGTTACAAACAGAGCGGTATTCAAATCCCTTGTACCGGGTGTAACTGTGAATACGCAGCAGTGTTGCGGGTTTGCCTAATCTTTACCCCCGTAAGGGCCCATGGCCCCTGCGGCCATATTGGGTATGCAATCCCGCAACACTGCTGAGTATTCAGTTACACCCGGTACGTTACGAAGGGCTGTTGCTAAGAAACTTACCGTGCAGTGTAGGTCGCGGCGAGGTCCTGTGATAAAGCTGGTGTCTGTGTGTTCGCAGGTCGCGACGCACCAAGTGGTTGGTGAGCATCTTGGCCGCCTCAACGATCGTGGTGGTGATAGTTCTGGCCGTGGTGCTTACCAAGAGCGATGACCACCCCCGCGGCCATCTGGGAGCAATCGCTACGGACGCGGCACCCTGTCAAGAAGTGGGCGAGTGAGTACAAACATCTGTGTCGTCACTTAGCATGGCGCCTAACGGCTCATAGCGTATGGGCCCACCCTGAATGCTGAAAGTGTGAGGTGCCCAAACCATTCTCCACCTCCACCCATCCACCGTCCCTTTGCAGTCAGCCGAGATTTTTGGCTGGCTACCCCAGACGTTTCTTTGCACGCCTCGGTGTTTGCGGGTTTGCCCTCCCACGTAGGCCCTTTGTGACCTTTGAGATCGTACAGCAGAGACCGTCCGCTTTTCTCAAATTCACTTGTTAAATTACGGGAGCTTGGCGCCTGCGAGACTCAGGGCAGGCCACCCCGCAGTACACGCATGCAATGCAGGCGAGATGTTGCCTGCCTCCCAGGCGCTATGAATGCTTGCACAGGAAACACAGGAAACTTTGGCAATTTCGCAACGGCGTACTTTAGGGCTTATCCCTTACACGTCGCAGAGGGTTGGCCAAGCCACATGCACCGGTGCAAAGAACCACCCTGTGCCGTTCCGTTCTAATGCGTTGGACTTTCAAGCGTTTTCCCTCGTTGTAGCGCCTAGAACGTATTTGTCAGGTTTCTCAAGGTGTACAATTTCCCGCGTGTACCCAGACACGCTATCACATCACGATTAACTGTGCGTCCACCGACCAGCTGCCACCCTCGAGGTGGGCTGGGCTCGACGGCCGCTGTTATCGTCGCCTCATTAAGTCCTTGAGAGCTAAGTTTCTCTCCCTCTTTCTCTTTGTCTCTGTCTCTCATGCGAAGTGATGCCGCTGCCTGACTTGGGCTGGTCCTAAACGCAGCTTCTGCTTATTCCCCCTGCAGGAAGCTTCTCCGACTTGGAGGCAATGCCATTGAGGTGACGATCGGCATCCTGATCTGCGAGGGCGTGTCCTCGTCGCAGAGCATGGGCCTGGGCGGCGGCTTCATGATGACGATCTATAACCGCAAGACCAAGGAGTCGTTCGTCCTCAACGCGCGCGAGGTGGCCCCCGCGGCCGCTGACGTCAACATGTTCGGCAAGAACGAAGACCAGGGCTCCGTCTTCAGTGAGTGGATGAGTACTGCCGCCCCGCCCGACGGGCCGCCCACGGCGGACTCAAACTCAACCTCCCCGTTGTGTTCGCAGGCGGGAAGGCCATCGCGGTGCCGGCCGAGCTGCAGGGCTACAAAGTGGCGTACGAGTATGCCCAAAAGCACGGCGGCAAACTCGCATGGGCCCAGCTCGTCGAGCCCACCATCAAGATCTGCGAGGAGGGCGTCCCCGTCATCCAGTACGTCGAGAACATCCTCAAGGACAAGCAGGCGCACGTCCTGCAGTCGCCGACGCTCAGGTAAGGGTCCGTCGTGTACAGTCTGCGGCACCCGTGGAGGGACGAGACTTGATGCCGATTCTGGCGTAATTGCAGTGAGCTGTTCGTCGTCAACGGCACCGTCAAGCAGAAAGGAGACTTGGTCAAGCGGACCCAGTTGGCCGAGACGCTGAAGGTCATCGCGAAGGAGGGCGCGGATGCGCTTCACAACGGCAGCCTCACGGAGAAGTTCCTCGCCGATCTGAAAGCTTTCGGCAGCATCGTCACGGCCGAGGACCTGAAAAACTACAAGTAAGGAGGAGGACACGGTAAAGTCGAGGTCGAATGTTTGATGCGATAGTGGGGTTCCGCTAACCGAGGAAGACATGAGCGGGTAGAACTGGTGCCAAGGTTCCTGATTTTGGTTCTGCGCCCTCTTCTGATGCAAAACTGTCAGGTATACCTCCCCCAAAATTGAGGAAAACGGACCCTAAAGTTGGGAACCTAGAATAACCGAGCTCAGTTATTGTCCCCCTTTTCCTTGAAGTGGCCAGAGTCTCCTCCTAAATTCCGACCTTGTTTTTACCGAGTCCCTACCCCGCGGACGGCTGTCGCGGGCTGGGTGTGCGCCCGTGCCTGGCCGGGCTCACCTGTATCTCGGCGTACGGCCTTGCGCTCGGCGCCCAGCGATGCGCGGGGCGGCCAACGACTCGGGAAATCGCTTCGCCCGATAAGGGGAGGCGTGGAGGCTGGCTGCCGCTGGCTGCCCCCGGCGGCGGCTCTCCTGCGGAACGAGACGACAGCCTCCTCTCCTGCACGAGCCAAGTGCCCTCCCCTCTTCCGGCGAGCGCCCCAATTTTCTTTGCCGTGCGTCGCGCGGAGTTCCAAGGGCGGTGGTGGTATAAAAACCGGGCTTCTAGAGCCTGAGGCTGGGGGAGGTGTAGGTATAGGCCCGGCCCAGCGCCGCCCCCTCCACGAGGCCTCGACGGCATGCGTCCGTTCGAGTCGACTAGTACCTCTCGTGCCGTTAGGGGTCATACAGAAAGTACATACGGCGTCGGTCTGATCAGAGCCCTGCACCGAGCGAGCATCGGATGCCTACATGGCGTCCGAAAGCGAATCGGAGTGAGAGGGAGCTATGGCCCGGCGCGAGCTTCTCGCCCCCACAACCGCTTTCGGACGCCATGTAGGCATGCGATGCTCGCTCGGTGCAGGGCTCTGGGTCTGATGGGTAGGCAACAACTATCCTGCAGTGCATGCGTGTACTGCGGGGTGGCCTACCCCCAGTCTCACAGGCACCTAGCTCCCCGGTCATTTGCCGTACATGAACCTGAGAAGAACGAACACGTTAATTTCTGGACTAAGTGTGACTGGCGTGTGATCAGGCCGCGTGTGACGAACGCCGAACGCTACCGTCGCCAAGCTCCCGGGTGGCTACAAAGCTCCCGGGCAGCTACACGCTGATCGCGCAGACGCCGCCGTCTGGCTCCAGCCTGCCCCCTTGATCCCTTGGTGTGACTGGTGTGACTGTCGTGTGCAGGCCGCGCGTGACGAACGCCACCATCGCCAAGCTCCCGGGCGGCTACACGCTGATCGCGCCGCCGCCGCCCGGCTCCGGCCCGCTGCTCGCCCACTTCCTCATGATCACGGCTGGAATGGTGAAGCCGCCGCTGCAGACGGCGGACCAGTACCAGCGCATCATCGAGGCCATGAAGTTCGTCTACGCGGCCCGCTCCGAGTTCGGTGACCCCGTCGGGGACCCCGACAACGCCAACGTCTACGTGGTAAGTCTGGTGTCCCGTGTCGCCGGCTGGAAGTGCACCCCTAGTGGCATGAGGACATCTGAACGGCATCGACTCACCTCGGCTGTTTGCGCAGAAATCCGCCCAGCTCGTGAACCAGACGTTCGTCGACGAGATTAGGCAGAAAATCCTGAGCCACGACAAGCAGACCTCGCAGGATCCCAAGGACTACGGCGCGACGTTCGACACGGTCAACCCGAAGGGAACGGCCCACGTATCTGTCATCACCGAGGACTTCGCCGTGTCTGTGACCAGCACCGTCAACACAGAGTGAGTCAGAGCAGCTGTCCTTCTCGACGGCGACGTCCACCTTGACGGCGTCTAACACGAGGAAGACTTTACTGAAAAACACACTGTACCTAAAAAATCAGGGGGGAAAATCAGAAAATGTCACTAAAAATCGGAAAAAAAATCTTCTAAAGTCTTTTAAAACATACGCTTGCATTTAAAGTGGTCTAACGTACTGCGCTTCGCAGGTGGGGCTGTATGATGGTGTCCCCCAGCACGGGCATCATCCTCAACAGCGAGATGGACGACTTCTCGCTGCCGGAGGCCCCCTCCACGTACGGCGTGCCACCCTCACCCTCCAACTTCATCAAGCCGGGCAAGGTCCCACAGTCGTCCATGTCGCCGTCGGTCATCTTGGACTCCAACGGCGACGTGAGGCTGGTCATCGGCGCCTCCGGCGGTCCGCGGATCACTTCTGCGGCAGGCCTGGTGAGTAAAAATGACCCTCGCCGTCGTAGTCTCTCGTGCCCACCCGCCATGCTCATCACCGCCCTGCTCTCGGACTGCCGCGCAGGTGACGCTGTTGCACTTGTATCTGGGCGTGGACCTCGACGAGGCCATCAAGGCCAAACGCATCCACCACCAGCTTGTACCGATGAGGGTCAAGTGCGAGAAAGGTTTCCGACAGGTAAGCACTACGACATTCCCTTGCCGTTCCCCCCGGCCTGCTAAACGCTCCTCCGTCACTAACAAACTTGCTGTCCAGGACCTGATTGACGAGTTTCGAAAATTCGGCCACGTATACGAGGAGCTCTCGACCACTGCGTCGAGCGTGATGGCCATCGCCGTCAACGGCAACTTCTACCACCCGTCGGCCGACGCGCGCAGGGAGGGCGTCACCGCGCTTGTCGAGAGGGGCGACTGACCCGGGCCCAGCCGCCGGGACCGGGACCGACTGGTGGTGGCAGAGACGCGTGTCCATTCACGACGACTTCGTTTCGACCAGAGCTCTCCGCTCGGTTAGGGTCGCCAAACACTTTTCCACCCCTTCCAACGCGGCCGGCACGCTCTCATCCGGGTCGGGTCCGATGTGTTGCCTAACGGCCCGGCGCGGCTGCGAGCGGCCCGCACCGCGGAGTGCGACTGCGGAGGGCGGTGTTTCAGACTGAAAGCGTGGTGCTTCTTGGAAAAGATTTAGTAATTTGTCTGTGATATGTGTGTAATAATAAGGTTCAGGATGTGTAATAATTATCAATTTGCTGTCTTCTGGGCAGAAAGAGCAAGTCCATGTGGCTGTGACGTTGCCATATAGATCAAAGTCATCTTGCTTATTTATCTTGTATTCTTATGTGTCTAATTTTAATAAATTTTGTGTTGTGTATATAATATATTTGCCTTTGACTTCTCCAGCCACGAGTGGCAAGTCATTGTATATAGACATGTTATGTTGATACTTTGAACTAGGATACGAGAAAGGCACCGGACGCAATTTTCGCAATTCTTTAATCACCATCGGAGTAAGAACACAGCCTGGTTTCACTCTTCACAATTATTTAAGGGGCGTGGCAGACTCTCGCGCCATCGTCGGTTAGGGATGAGCTGGCTGGATTTATTTTACGCGTTCATTTTTTTTTATGTTTCGTAGTTAACTCGCTCGGAGGTCGTAGTCAAAATACATGGGACCGCGGTCGGTGTCCTTCGTGCAAGTCCAGTGACGTTATACTTTCTTTTCTTATTTAGGGTAGTTACGTTTAAGGCCGTCAATTCGAGAACTGCCTGATTTTGTTTAAAATACATAAAATAAATCAGCTTACAATGTCTTTTTTTTACTTTACTCTATTCCGCGCGCCACCAGAGCTGCACTAGCGAATCTTGGTACCATATAACTTTCCCTATTTCTTCTCTACTCATATTGGTTGTCCCTACAAAAACGCGTGTGACGTTTGAAAATTATAAGGTTTATCATTAGGTTAAATGAAAGAGCTTAATCATAATTTAGGTTTATTTACTATAAGACAGACCAAGCCTAACTATTCGTAGGAGATACTTTCACATCCTTGAACACTACACATAACGTTCTCTTAACAGCTGTGAAGGCAGTTTTAGGGTGTAGGAAGCTTTTATGTTCGATATTTACACAAAATGTCTTATAAAATGAATTATAGAGTTTTGGAAAACGGGACTCAGATCTCATATTTATTTGCTATAGTTTTTAGTAAAGGAATGACTTAAACAACTGCATTTCGAAACTCAGCAGTTAAATTCTAAGTTCTCCTTTTTTCTTCCGAATCCAGCCAGTGCTCATGACTTCCCTTAACAATTTGGAATTTAAACTAGAAAATCGAACTTTTTCTCCCGCCATGAAATTTGTTAAAACAATTTTTAATTTGTTAGATGTTTTAACTTCTGTCCCTTCACTCTTTTAAGTAGTAATATTACAATGAGGCGAGATTACAAACACATATGTACACATGAAGTAAAAATTCCCCATTTTCACAGAAAATGTTCCAAGGACGCCAATTCTCTTATACTAGAAAGAAACATCACTCTTCATAAAAATAGTGAAAATTCAATTGAATATTCTAGGTGACACCATAACAATATATTCTCTGAAAAGCTTATTTTGTCTTAGTGACGAAAATGGGCTTTGGATCGTTTCAGAAACAACGCACGCGGGAAAATAAAGAGTTTGCATAATTTGAGTGGTTCATTCACTATCACAAAATGCAACGCTGTCTCGACGTTGTCTTATGCTGCTCCAAATAATTTGTTTTAAATCGATGTCAACCACATTCTTAGGCCTTCAAGGCAGTATCTGCTTTCACAAAAGTACGTAGAAGTTTTGAGGAGTGACCCTCGTTACGTAGAGCGTATAAAAGATTTTTATTTGGGCCCAAAAACAATTATTTGAGTGCGCTCGAAACAGTTTGTTGTTGCCTTTTTATTCAGGCAGGCAGAAATGAAGGGTTTGTCAGCACACGAAAATGCAATTCTAAAGCAATGTGGCGATAATTTTCTATAATTAATAGGGGTAACACCTGATACCCGTCTTTTCTATACTTTAGTTCACATATCCCGGTACGTAAACCTATACTTCTATTAGATTTCCTATGTATTTGATTTCAAGTTGAAACCCTAAAATTTGAGTGTAATTGACCAAAGCTATTCTTTCCAACAGACGCTAGCTGACAAACCAGTGGCTATTACGTAGCGCGTTTCAAAATGTCGGTAACAATGATCTAGTTTATTTGTGCTTTTGCAGTATACTACGCTTATCGCAATCAGAATAAACAGCGTAATGCACTCTCTAAAAATTTAATGCTTTAAAATTTCACTTACGAGCAGGACAAAATTGAAGGGCCTTTATTGGCGCCTTCTCTTTCTCTCTGGTGTTATTCCATTAGGATAAAAAGTAAAATTTGGTCCTAATTCAGCAAAGGAGTTAAATAGAACAACCAGAAGTAGAAAATAGTGTTAGATTTCTTATTGCTCTTTTGGAGCCTCTAAAAGAGTCAAAGCACCATAATTTATTGAACAGTTAATATTCAATAAGTAACAAGGCATTCAACATGACACAGCCATGTATTGAGCCTGATACACATGTTGCACAATTCCCTTCAAATTTAAGTAGATATCAAAACAATTCAGATCTACACAAACCAATCACTTCTCTCCAGCGTATCCCGCACATTCCGAACCCAAGACGACTGAAATTATCCTTCCTGCTCCATATTCGAAAAAAATATATATTGTGTTTTTGCACTAGTTTGGACTAAAGTTTACGGAAAGTCAAGATAAACGTTTATAGTCATTTATGACGTCTGAGGAAAGAAAAGAGCCAATAACTGCTATGAGCACCGTACGTCCGTCTAGTTCTAGTTGAAAATGATGCACGATAGA